TACTACTACTACTACTACTATTTATTACTACTTTGCAGAAACAGGCCAAGAACTACTACTGAAGCAAGGGGATGACTTGCCATGCCAGAACCTGAGGCAAGGCCGGTTACTGAAAGCCAACCCATACCAAGCCATGAAAATGATAACTCCTTATACCAGTGTCCGGCAGGGGGACCCTGTCTAATGCCAACGAGAACACCCTAACTTAAAAAAAAAAACATCTAACAGAAAGCTATGTTAAATCTGATAGGAAACTGGGAAAACCCTATCTAACAGAACTACCCATCGACATGACGTGGAGAAACCTTATGTAACAGACAACCTTGGCTAACAGAAAACACTGTCTACGACCCTATGTAAAGAGCAGTCTCAGTATTTGCACAATAGTAATAGATTTACAGGTCATGCTGTGTCAACACCATTCTCAGCCGTATCCGCAAGAGGTGGGCGAGGGCTAGGAGCAGGAACAGCGGGAGGAGCAGCACCAGTATCAGCACCGTCATGTTGAGGTCCTTTTTCCCGCGACCATCATCATCATCATCGTCATAAGTCCGTCACTGTCTGCCCAACCATCCCAGACAATTATTCTGAATATCCAAAGCCCCTGACCTAGGTCCGGAGTCTTGACATGCAAGCTCTTCAAGCCCGAAACCAACATCAATTCCCATGAGAGGCACGCCCAGAAACCAACATCCTTCCGACAAAAAGCTCGGCTGGTGCACGAACTGGCGGCCCAATGAAGACCATCTCGGGGGCTGTACAGCGCATGGGCCTCGGTGCGGAACTGAAGAGCCGAGTCGGCTGGCTGGGCGAAGCGGCCTGCGGCCTTGCTACATGAGTTCTCCGAGGGTTTAGGGTTTAGGGTTTAGGGTCTCCTTTATGGTGGCTCAAGGGCTCACGGCTTTACTGCAGAAGTCCCGGGTGTCACATTCCTCGGACTTGTGGGACTGCAGGGTGCTGGACTCAGCCGTTCTCCCTCGCAGGGGCCACTGCCGGAGGCTCGGCAAGACGGTGAAGCAAAGCTCCTCCAACTTCTCCTCAAGAGCCTGCAGGTTTGCATTCGGCTTGAGAATTTCTCGGAGCTAACCGAAAGCCACACATGTTTGCTCAGCATCTCACGGAATTTATCTGTGCTCATAAAATCAAGCTGATGGAAATGATAGCCATGAGGCCATGAGGTAACGGAGGCAGCCCGCACCAACTGTAACAACAACCAAACAGCAAAGCAGACCTGCGCCCATCTGATGGTTGTGGTAATGACGGCAGCGAGTACCATTGCAGCACCTTGAGGATCGTGGTCTCTGTAGCGACATCACTGTCGGCGAAGAACTGGATCATGCTTTCTGCCTGAAGGCTCCGCGGCACGTAGGGTAAAAACTAGCGGTGAAGCTACCCGTGACCAGAGTCTAGTTTGAAAGCAATCCGGAGCAGAGACCTCCTGTGGTACTCTGGACTGTGCAGCTCTAAGCTTTACGACTTTCGGAGCAAGGATGCGCAGGGAAACCAGAGCTCGTAAATTCATCACTGCGTTCGATCATCCAAAACTAACACGAACGAATGACTATAGACCATGTGATGTCGAAACAATAAGCACCCTCTCTGGGTCATCGGCCAAACCAAAAGCATACTCGTCTTCAGTCTCCTGGGGCTTGTCTGCGGCTGCGAAGGCAACCACAGGCAGAGCTGAGCGGAGCAGTAACCATCAGCGGGAAAACAAAAACATCCAGCCAGATGAATCACGAGTGACTTGGTCGGTGTTTGGGTTCAGTCAGGCAGCCTGGGCCTCCGGGGGAACCTCGCGGGGGAAAAAGACAATGAACAAAGGGAAGGGAGAAGCCTCCCCTTCAGATTCACTAACGAGGCTGCGCTGCCCGGATGTGCTTGACCGAGCCCACCCGGGGCCCATGAGCGCGCACCATGTACATCTCATGACGGGTGCGGCCCTGGACTCCCCCAGCGGACGCTTTAGCCCATCTGCTCCGCTGTCATATGCCGATCCCACGGCATGTTGGCCCCAAGGGAGTTTCAGCGCAGCTCTGCCCCACACCCGGCCGACGGTGTGAAGGAGGTTACCCTGGGGGACGCAACCTCCTTTGGGTAAGGCGACTCGCACACATGGTCTCACGACATGCTCATGTCATGCGAATGCCTAGCAAACTTAGTGGACACATATATTATGGACTGCAGTCTGCCAATGGCCACACCGAACTTCGAACGCATGCCATGCTCGGTCATGCTCAAGGAAGCTCCAGCAAGCATCAGAACAAGACAAAGACACTTTCAAGCTCATCCGACCATGTGCACAGACGAATCTCACTCACGCAATTCCAGCCTGGAGCTATTCCCTGCATTGACACTGCATCTACCCAAATCTCTGTCAACGCGGCCAAACCATAAACACCGAAGCAGCTGCGGCGACGAGCACGGGTAAACAACAAGCGCTATGAAGCAATGTGATACTGATTATTGTCGTGCTCATGTGCTACTGGTGATGGAAAGGAAGGTTGTGAAGAAGGAAAATAGCTTAAATCGCTATCATGGGACCATCCGTGTCGTCGACTTGAACGCAACGCCAACTACAGTCCTCGCTCTTATTCATAAACCGCGCAGAGCCATTCTCGATTGCAGGCACTAGTCTTCCTTCCGGCCTGTGTCGACACTACCGCACAGACAATTGCTGTTACCTGTGTTTCATCATGACAACGGTGCGGGTAGCTACTGCCTTTAATGCCAGTCTGAATACTTTTATTCTTATTGCTCTCCTTGCCGACGGATTCTGCAATGACGACGACGACCGCGACTGCTACGACGACGACTACGATCACGAGCAAGACGACTAGTATTGATCTTTGTCTTCAGTTTCAACTTCTAACTTCTAACTCTGATGTATCACCGACACGATTGACTCGCAAAGTTGAAGCAAGAGCATGAACATGCCAACAACGACACCGAGTAAGGTGTCTTCGATCCACACTCTTAGGCTTTCGCCAAGATGAAGGGCACTTCCAGGGCCACCTCGGAGGGTCTGATCTTGGATGTCAGCCCTCTAGACAAAACAGGTCGTCCTGCCTTTGTGCTGCATCTACAAGCCTGGACAAGGCCTCCGAGGCCTGACTCGAAGCTCGATTCCTTTTGATCTCTCTGCCGGTGGTGCCGCTGAGCCGATCTCAGCTACCCCTCGGAGGCGTCCCTGTCATGCACAAGGCTGCGTACTGCAGTCTCCGAGTCTCCGCGGTGGTTGGGGAAACTGCTCCGGCATTTGCTGGTTTGCAGGTCTTCGGCCGCCATAAGCTGATAAGTTGATTAAGCACAACAACATCTGCGACTGCTGAGAGCTTGAAGCTCGCCTCTCCCAAGCCGAACCGCTGAGTCTCCACACTGCTCCGTCGAGGGGCGGTGCTGCGGTCCACCATCGAGAAAGCTGCAGGTTTGGGATATCGGGCTCTGTCGTGCACTTCTGGGCGTGGGGCTTCGGCTTAGGCAAAAAAGTGTAGAGCGTAGAACAGTGGAACCATACATCTTGGAATTCTGCTGCTTAAGTGCTAGATGCCCTAACGTCCCCGGAACTGTTGGCGGAAGGTTGGTGACAAATGAAGGGATTGAGGCAGAGCTATGTGATTGCCAGAAGAATATAAAGATGCCTACCATTGCTACTGCTGCTGCTCCCGCAATTTTTGCTGCAGCCACTAATGCTGGTGCTGCTATCACTACTACTACTACTACTACTACTACTACTACTACTACTACTCCTGCTACTGCTACGGCTACTGCTACCGCTACGACTACCACTACCACTACTGCTACTGCCGCTTCTACTATTATTACTACTACTACTACTACCACCACTACTACCACTACCACTACCACTACCACACTACCACTACGACTACTACTACGACTACTACTACGACTACTACTACTACTACTACTACTACTACTACTACTCCTACTGCTACTGCCACTGCCAATGCTACTGCTGCTGCTACTG